TGAAAGCATAATTGTGTTCCAGTCACCTTTGTTTGTTGTAGCGTCCCGGCCTGCGGGACACACGAGCAGGGCCCTGCAGGGAAAGGCGGACCTGGATGGAAGAAAAGACACGGAGACTTGGAGCAAGACAAAACGCTGATCAAACTCCATTTATTTGGGCAAAGCTGGGGTATATAAAGGGGGACTGGGAGGTGCATATTTTAATAAGGTGTGCGACACAACATCCAATCCAACATGTACACTAATGAAGCATAAGAACGTTAACCAATCAGCTGCAGGTAAAAAGGCGCGCGCTAGTTCTCAAAGACATCCTGCATGCAGACTAAGGTTCATCAGGCGTAATGCAAAGTCCATCTTAGTCCAATGAGCGCTCGGCATTATTAACCAATGGGTGAAAAGGTCAATTCTTACAACCGCCCGTGCACGTAGCTAGGAACGTGGAGGTAGGGTTGGGCAGGAATTAGGCAGGGCCAGCCCCTCACAGGTTTAGCAAATGAAAGACGAAACTTAACAACCAGGAAGCAGCCAAGTTCGGCTCCGTGGCTGAGGCTAAGGCCTTAATGGCCACCGGCTCCTAACAGTTTGTCTTCGTGCCTATCACAATAAGTTCATGCTTTTTGTTTGTTTCTAAGATCTGTTCAGATGAAAAGTAAATTTAATGTGATTCTTAAACTTGAAGTGTTCATGATATTGTTGTTGTAATTACTTTCATTTCATCACATTACATTACATTGTTCATTACATTCACAGAGGGCCATTGTGAATCAGAACCAACTTGACATCTCTGAAGAACAAGAACAAGCTTCAAGTTTTTTGGGGTTTTTAAAAATTCTTATATTGAATTGGGTGAAAGTTTACAGAGCAGAGCACCAGGTTTGCATTCAACAACCCATGTACATTTTGTTTCGTCTCACTCAGTACAGTCCCCTCAATGCACTATCACTTATCCCACTTTTCCCCTGTTTCCTATTTCCATTCTTCCTTTCGAATGTTGTTCTTGGGTCAATTTGCTGTTTGAGCTTAAATGGTGGATTATTCTCAGGTGTGCATAATACCATAGTATTATTCTCTCCCCTCACAGACCTCTCAATCGTTTGCCTGCAGAGTTAATTTCCAGACCTGAAGATGGCTAAGGACCATAGTCTTGGGGGTTCCACTTGGAAACTTGTACAACCAGTTGGGGGTCTCTTTTGAGTTTTGTTTCACAATTGTCTCCCACTTTATTCAGGACTTTCCAATGTGATCCCTTTCAGAGCAGCTGGTAGTGGTAGCTGGGCATTATCTAGTTCTGCCAGTCTCAGGATGGTGGAGATTGATGTTTGCATGGTCCATTAGTCCATCGGACTAGTTCTCTTCACAAATCTTCAATTTTCTTAACTCTTCTTTACCCTAGAGAAGGAGAGACCAATAGTTACACCTTAGATGGCTGTTCAAGAGTTTGTTTGTTTTTAGGGGCCCAGTTGCTACTCACTAAAGTAGAGTGTAGAATGTGATCTTTGTGAACTGTTATGCCAATTGACCCTGGTGTCTCCCTGGGCCCAATGACTCATTCCCTCAGAGTGTTTCATGTTGTCTAAGAAGTTTTTATAACCTTTTCCCCCAGTATGGTCTGCCACATTCATGTATATATTTGCAGCAAAGATCAATATACATATTAAACATTCTCTGTTAAACCTATATATATTTATGAATATACTTCCACTTTACCTCCTACACCTGCTCGGTCAGTTTGTCTATCCACATGTCTACTCGTAGATCTCAGCTAGGACAGAATTGCGCATATAGCAGCATTTAGCTGCTACCTTTCACTTTTGCAGCCCCCCCAGTGTCTTCTCCTGCCTTCATCATTTCCCACCGAGTCCCTCTTATTGTATGTTGCCTTCTCCTTCACTCAAATGAACACTTCACCCAAGTTAACACTGGGCCAGTAGCTACGCCTCCCTTCCCTTATGACCCCTAGCAACCATTGAAGAACCATTAAAGAAAATTGCTTCTAGACTGTTTACATTAGTGGTCTCACACATTTCTTTTTTTTCATAGACTAAATTTCATCCAACATAATGCCATCTAGATTCATTTATATTATAAAGTATTTCACATACTCAATGTTATTTGTTAACACTGTGTAGTATTTATTCCAAAGTTGTATTTATGTACCAAAGCTTATTCATCTATTCATCCATGGGTGGGCATTTAGATCGTTTCCACCTTCTTTGCTTTTGTGAATAGTGCTGTGATGAACACAAGTGTGTATCTATTCGTGGTGTAGCTCTTTTTTCTCCAGGCTATCTATACACTGAGCAGAGGGAGGGCTGGGTCATATGGTACTTTTGCTCCCATCTTTTTGAGGAAGCAGCATACCGCTTTCCATAGCGGTTGCATCCTTTTACATTCTCATCAGCAGTATATGGGGGCTTCTGATTTTAGAACTTTGCTATTAAGGCTGGAGTGAGGTGATATCACATTGTTGTTTTGATTTGCATCTAATAGTTAATATCATGACTATTTCTCCATATGAATGGCTTCTTCGGTGAAGTGTTTGCTCATGTCCTTTGCCCAGTTTTAAATTGCACTACCCATCTTTTTCTTGTTTAAGTGCGGAAGTTTTCTACAGATTTTAAAGATTAGTCTCTTGTTTGATATGCCTTTGCCAATTTCTCCCCCTCAGTCTGTGGATTTTCTTTTTACTCTTTTGGTAAAATCCTTTGATGAACATAAATATCTAATTTTTAGGAGGTTCAAATCATATCGTCTTATGCTGTTCATATGTCTTATGCTGTTGATAACCTGTCCCTTTAACCCACCCTTTTGCTATTACAAGCAATATTGTAATGAAAAAGGAGCTGTAGTAGTGTAGTGGTTAAAGCAGCTGGCCATTAACTGAAAGGTCAGTGATTCAAATCCACTAGCCATTCGGTGGGAAAAAGATGGGATGTCTGTTTCTATAAAGACCTCAGCCTTGAAAACCCTATAGGAAAGTTCTACTCTGTTCCATGGGGTCAGTATGTTAGAACCCACTTGGTGGCAAGAGGTTTGGGTTGTTTTGAGTTTATATATGGTTAGACTTCCCAAGTAGTGCTAACAGTTAATGTGCTTGGCTGTTATTGGAAAGATTGGAATTTCAATTCTACCAAGAGGGCCTTGGAAGAAAGACCTGAAGATATACTTTGGAAAAACCAGCCAATGAAAACTTCATGGAGCACAGGTCTACGCCATATGGATCCACATGACAGCTTTATCAAGATAGGAGAAGCAGCAGAACCAGGAGCCAGAACATGGGACAGAGTGGTGGACTTCCCAACCCACAGAGCAAATAAAGCTTTTGTGCAGGAGGCTAGCTTGTGGAGTAGGGTGCCTCTGGGCACTTAATTGGGGAAGCTGGACTTGCTGACCCATGAAAGTGGAGCTCAGTGCCTTGGGGCTAAGGCTTACTGGAGTGGGGTGCCTCTGGGCACTTAATTCTGGGAGTTGGGTTTGCTGACCCATGGAGCTTAAGCTGAATGCCTTCAGGTTGAGGATTATAGCAGACTGGTATGCTCTTTGGGCATTTATTAGCAGACTTCCCAGAACTTTGTGACAAGTCCTGATAAAGAACTCAACCCTGAGCATTTCTCACTAGCATTATTACAACTTCCTTAATAAACCCTTTGATTATGAATTTTGTCTGTGAGTTCTGTGTAGCCATTGCAATGGATATTAGATTCTGGAGATGTATTATTAACCATTAACTAAGTCAGCACAGCAAGGTTACACAGGAATTACTTTTTCTACCAAAGTTGCCAGATACTAGTCAGAAAGCGGTTTTCCAGCTCATGGTCTTCAATTCTTTGTCAGTCAAACAGTGGTGTCAGGATGTTTGGCAGGCTGCTCCTCTGATTGACTTGGGTCAGTTCTGAACAAACACGGATGGTGGCCACCCTCTGGCCAAATTACAGTGTGAAATAACTTACACCTGAGCGTCCAACGCCACAACGACAGATGGTTATTTAATTTAAATGAAATACAGTAAACAGTCCAGTAACTCAGTCTCAGTCGTCCCAATTCGTGCTCAGCAGCTAGACAGTGGCCACTGCCTTTTCGTGCAGATTCATTCAGGACTTCCCATCATTGCAGAACGTTCTATTGGGCAGCACAGACTTGGCAGATTTTTGTTTGCTTGTTTGTTTTTTAAGCCCCTTGCCTCCACCACCACCAATAATGAACATGCATTATTACGCTTTCCAAATGTTACGTGTTGTCTAGTTGGTTCCGACCATAGCGACCAGATCTATGCCCAGCAAAACGAAACATAAACGGGTCCTGGGCCATCTTCCCAACTGTTCTTGTATTTGGCGCCATTGTTGCAGCCACTGTCTCAACCCATCTCACCGAGGGCCTTTCTCTCCTTCGCTGCTCCTCCACTTTACCAATCAAGCATGATGCCCATCCCCAGGGATTAGCCTCGCCTGACGTGTCCAAAATACATGAGACGAAATCTCAACACCCTCGCTTCTAAGGAGCATTCTGGCCAAGATGTTACGAAATAAACACCTGCAAAGCCCGGCGGCGACCTTCCTCTCAGGGCGCGTTCGAGCGTTATTCTGGAGGGCGACGTCTTTCTGGGACGGGAAGTAACTGATTAGACTTCCCGGCGCAGGGAGCTCCCTTAGCGGTGGGTATTCAAGGGCCATGAGGCCCTCTGCCACCCGCGAGGAGGAGCTGCTCGAAGTGGCGGCCACCTGTGTCCCCTGGGCCGCCGCGGCGTCATCAGGGTCGAGGGCGCCCAAACACCGGAGAGCCGAGTCCGACGAGCCGCGCGAAGGCACCTACAGCGCGCGCAGCCGCACGCGCGCCGGCCCGCGGGCTCCGCGCTCCCAGCAGCCCACGGGGCGGGGCGCAGCGCGCTGGGGGCGGGGCCGTGACGCGCGCGCCTCGTGATCTCGCTCCCGGCCTGCCCGCGCGGAAGCCGGAAGCGGCGCAGGTCGGCGGCGCTGGCCGGAGCCGAGAGGCGGTGCGGGGCGTCCCGGGGTTTGTAAGCCCGGTGATGGACCCGGACGGGGCAATCGCGGGGCGGCGGCGGTCGCTTCTGCCGTGTCTGCTGCTCCTGTGGTCCAGGCTGGCGTTGGGCGCGCTCCCCTTCAGCAGCAGCCCCCGCCGGGTCCTCCACGACCTCCTGTCGGAGCAGCAGTTGCTGGAGGTGGAGGACTTGTCCCTGTCCCTGCTGCAAGGGGGAGGGCTGGGGCCGCTGTCCCTGCCCCCGGACCTGCCGGATCTGGACCCCGAGTGCCGGGAGCTGCTGCTGGACTTCGCCAACAGCAGCGCTGAGCTGACCGGCTGTCTAGTACGCAGCGCCCGGCCCGTGCGCCTCTGTCAGACCTGCTATCCTCTCTTCCAACAGGTCTCCGACAAGATGAACAACATCAGCCGAACCGTGGGGGTGGGTAGACGAGCGCACCCCTGCCCCGTGGCGTGGAGGGCTGGGGAAGGAGAGCCGTGTAGAGAGGGTGGTCCATGCCGGGGGCCTCAGTTTCCCCATCTTTAAGAAAAGGGACTTGGACTGGGTTTGTGGGGCATCAGGAATGTGACTGGCATTACGAGGCTTAGGATTTTGAATTTTGCTCCCGGGTCTGCTGTTGTGTCCTCTTGGAACATTTTGCGAATTGATGTGATTGGCTTTCTGGGACTCGTGAGCCCCTAACCTTCCTCTTTTCCTCCTTACCTCTGCCACGTAGCTTTCTTCCCCTTTCCATCTGGAGTCCCCAGGAACGACCGCTGAAGCTCCACCTGGAGTGGCGAATCTATATTATGTGGTAATTTTGAGGAGCTTGAGCGCTGCGGCTAGAAATTTCCAGACCCACCACTTCCTAGCTTGGATTAATCATCATCTCAGAGCTTCAGCTTTCCCCTCTCTAAAACGGAGACATCTCTCAGTCTGAGCCCTCGTTAGACAGAAATACAAGGATTACCTTATAGGGCTCACCTGGGTGATGAAAAGCAGTCGAGCTGATCCACCACGGGCTCTACTATGCTTAAATTCTGGGCAAATGACTCGTAGTGGAGCTGTGCCTGTTTTCTCATCTGTAAAAGGAGAATACAAAGAGCTATTAGTGGTGTCTCACAGTAAATGGGAGCTAGCATTTCTGGGACAATGAATCCGCCCCATCCCAGTTCTTGGTACTAACTTGAGAGCAGATGCAGAGAAGAATTTGTGGGGAGGGGAGACGGGGGAAGGGAGACACAGTCTCTTAAGGGCCTTAGGATCTGGAGTAGGAAAGGATTAGAGGGCAGGACTGGTGGGAGTCACGAGGCAGGCGGCATAGGCGGGATATGCCTGGTGAAGGAGAAACAGAAATGGTAACGAGATTCAAGAATGAGAAAGTTCCTCTTCTGCTGAAGGAACAGGAAGTAGTTTCATTGAAATATGGTTGGAATTTTCATCAATCATAGTAAATAAAGTACCTTACGTACCACTTGTTCTGGAGCTGATTTTCAACTCATGGTGATGTCATGAGCGTCAGAGTAGAGTTGTCAGCGGCCCATTTTCAGGCTCTATCAACACGCCTTTCTTCTGAGGCACCTGTGAGCAGACTTGAACTTCCAACTTCAGAGTTAGCACCTGAGTGCAAACGCAGTTGACAGGGACTCCATCAATCAGGGACTCCACAGTAAACAGAGACAAAATAGAAACTTGTGTTTAGTTGTTCCCTGCTCTATGTCAGCCTGATATTACTTAATGAAAGTCAAATTTTAAGACACACAAAGGATGAATTTGGTTGCATTAAATGAATGATTTGGTCAATCTTTAGTAAAGAGAAAATTTTCAAGGTAAATTTAGGTTTACAAGTAATATTTTCCAGGCATCTTTCAATTGGGTTATCTATAATTCAATTGGGTTATCTAACAGGGAGATATATATTATGTATTGCTATGATTTGAAAGTACCTGAGACATGTCCCTGTCAACTGCAGCAGGCTATGATGGGACGTACTATTCTGTGGTGAGCAGTTAGGTGAGTTATGTTTAAGATAAAATTTCCGTTAAAGAACAGGACTGCTGTGGGCAGAATGGCTGTGGTCTTTAGAGGCAATACCTGCACTCTTTATGTGTGTAGGCATGGTGGGCCGGCCTTAGAACAGGTGAAAAAATACCCCAAACCCTAGTGTCACAGCTCTCCAGACACCACCCAATCTGTGTGTGCCATTTCCACATTACTTATTTTATGCCCAGGTGGGTGTGCCAGGCTTGCGGAAACAGCCTTCCTCTTGTTCTGGTCCTTCTTGCTGCTGGGCAGTTTTGTCCTGGTGTGGGAGAGAGAGAAAAAGAGGTTGGAAAGCCCCTTCTCCAATCTGCAGTTCCTCCTCCAACTCAGGCTAGAGCCTGGTTTCTGTTTCCTGCCTTTCCTCAGTTGAGCTGGACATAAGTCATTAACTCAAGAGTATGGTTTCTACTGTGCTGAGGTACTGGATGGCTGTCATGGGCCTTTATGGACTGATTTGAAAATTGAACCATCTGACTGGTAATAATTCGATGGGAAAATGTGTTTTTCTTTTCTTACAAGTGAGCTTGACAGAATCAGTTGTCCCTGAGAGAGTTTCTTTCTCAAGAGTAAATATGCTTTCTTTGTCTCTCATAGTCTCAGTTTTTTGGTTGAATTAGCAAGCACTTCTTCTTTGTTTTATTTATATAGATTTATTTGTTTTTATTCTACCTTCTTTTTAAAAAATCATTTTATAGGGGGTTATCACAATCCATCCATCCATCCATCCATCCATTATGTCAAGCACATTTGTACGTTACCATCATCATTTTCAAAATATTTTCTTTCTACTTGAGCCCTTGGTATCAGCTCCTCATTTTTCTCCCTCCTGCCCATATTTCTTATTCTTGAAGGAGCCCTGGTGGTGTATGCCTTGGGCTTTCGTCCACATGGTTGGCAGTTCTAAACCACCAGCAGCTCCTCAGGAGAAAGACTGGGCTTCATCCTGTAACTAAATAGTTACCATCTCAGAAACCCACCTGGTGTCATTATGAGTCAGCATTGACTTGATGGCAGTGAGTTCAATGAGCCCTATTCTTGAATATTGCCCAGGTAAAAAGATACCAAAGAAAAGGAAGGGTAGGGTTCAGGCTTCCAACTACAGTGCAGTTGGGGGGCAATCAAACACACCTATTGAGAAGAAGGAAAACACAGTCAGCAGTGTGTTGTAAATGGTTCCATTTGAAGGAGAGCCAGAGTTAACAGGAAGGCCACAAGAGGAAACCTGAAGTTGCATTTTGAACAATGCCTCCCTCCTTTCTCACCTGTAGAGTGAATGAACAGGGACGATGGAAAGGAGAGGGCAGAATAATAAAGAGCACAAGATCCAAAGGCAGAAGTAGTCCAGCTGTTTATGTGGTCCAGCAAGGGAACCAAGACTGAACTATAATATTATCGGATGAGCACTCGGTGTTCTTGTCACTTCGCCTTAGGTCAATTGCCTACAGTTTCATTATCTTAAGGTAACGAAGACAGTGATTTTGAATACTGAATGGTAGATTTGACTAATTCCTTCTGAGTCATGCTTGCTTTTAGAGTGAACTGTTAGTGATGTGGTTTCATTGAACAGTTCCTAGAGTAGCTATGAAGACCCTCTGACCCCCTAATTCTGAGTTGCTAAACTCTACCTTAATTACCATGGTTGTTTAAAATTTAATGAGTGTGTGTGAGTGTGTAAGTACACATATATGTCTCATTTACATTTTCAAAGGCGCTCATGATTTGTTATATGTATCTGATGAATGTTCAGCTTACTTTTAATTTAGACTAATAATTCTTAAGACTCTAAGGAGAATAGTGTAGAACGTAGCATAATGTCCTGTTTTTAATGCATTCATCAAAAAATTACCAAGTACCGATTATGTACAGACGAGTGGTAGGTTTTAGGGACAGGGCTGTGAATAAGCAGAGCTTGTAACCAGTTCATAGGAAACCAGATAACTTATATAGCAGTTTATAGGTAGTTAATGAAATCAGGTGTGCTAAATGTTGCAAAGAGAAACCCCCCCAAAGATGTTACCCAAACCTAACAAGGGTGCTGATCTTGTCCAGGGAATAGGTAGATGGTCAGGGATTAGAGCTGACTCCTAATCTTCGCGATGTCACCCTCCTCAAATATTTTTCAAGATTTCCCCTGTCTGACCTTAAGGCCTTGCAAACCCTTACCCTAACTCACTCCTTCCTCTAGCCCCCTTCCTTCCAAGGAGGAAGCGTCTGCTTTGAACACTTCCGAAGTCTCACATACTCATTCCCACTGTGGTCTCGTGATCACTCAGGATCCCCCCAACTTAGAGTTCTTTGCCCTTTCTCGAATTCTGCTTCCTTCAGGCATTCTTTTCTGATGGTCCCCTACCCCAGGGACATTTTCTTGAATTGCATGGGACTAGTTCCTATAGGCTATATACCTATGACATTCATATTGGTTATATATTGTTTTAAATAAAACATCCAGTCCTCTACTTAGGAAGATTCCGCTTCTTAGCCAACTGCACCAATTTAGCACACTTCATATTGGCTGCAAGATAGCTAGGTGGATTGGCATTTTTATCCAGCACTTACTTTGCGACAGGCATGGTACTAAGTGAGAAACATATTAATGTAATAACTTCATGGCCCATGATTATGAAACAGACTCTTGTCACCCACTCTTGTCTGACTCCTGAGGTCAAGCTCTAATTAAGAAACAACAGCAATTGCTCTGAAAGCAGAGTAGCCTGGTGCTGTAGTAGGTTACAAGTTGGTCTGCCAACTGCAGGGTCAGCAGTTCGAAACCACCAGCTGCTCCTTGAGAGACAGGTAAGGCTTTCTACTTCCGTAAAGAGTTACAGTCTCAGAAACCCATAGGGGTGGTTTTCCCCTATCCAACAGGTTTGCTATGAGTCAGCATCGACTGAATAGCAGTGAGTTTGGTTTTTGGTTTGGCTTTGAAAGCTATTCCATGAAGGGAACATTAGAAATGTATATTGGACTATTCACTTGGCTGTATCTCTTAATGTTTGTAAAGCAACACAAAATACCTCTCTGGAAGACAATCAGAACCCTGTGCCTCCTGATGAACATAAACAACTTGACCTAAAAAGTCTTCTTAATCCCTCCTGAATCTGAACAAATCTTTAGATACAACCACCAAGTCCAGGAAGTATAATGGACACAGAAACTTACTCAGCCCCATTGCAGGAATGCACGCAGCTAAACCCAGGCTGTGGGAAACTGTAGGATGTACTGTCCAGCTTCATCCTTCAATGCACTGGAAGGGTGAAAAATGGAGGGACTCCATAGGGTAAAAGAGTAGAGAGAACCTTGTTTACTAATTGAGCTATTGGATCTTAAGATTTCCAAACTGGAAAATTACTTACTGTATATACTTGAGTATAAGCTGAGTTTTTCCAGCACATTTTTAATGCAGTTTTGTGGTTAAATTAGGTGCCTCAGCTGATATTTGGGTTGGCTTATACTCTAGTATATGCGGTATGTAGCATTTGAGGAAAATTGAATACTAGATATTAGATGATATGAAAGATGATTGAGTTAAAAAGTTTTTAGGTATGATAATGGTATTTTTGTTTCTTAAAAAGTTCTTATGTCACAGAGAAACCTAATGAAATATTTACACATGAAATTATCCAACATTGAAATTTGCTTTAAAACCATCTAGGGTGGATGAGTGTAGAACTCAAACAAGAATGAATTGAAAGTTGTTGAAGCTGGCTTCGTTATAATATTGTTTTTGTTTATGTCTAAATTTTTTTATAATAAAAAAATATAATAAATATAACCAAAACCCACACTCACTGTCACTGAGTCGATACTGACCCAGAGTGACCCTGTAGGACAGGGTAGAACTTCCCCGGTGGGTTTCTGAGACTAACTCTTTAGAAATCTTTGTCTTTCTCCCATAGAGCCTGTGGTGACTTTGAACTGCTGACCTTCCTGTAGTGCTTCCACATGAAAAGCAACCACTCTCACTCTTCTTCCAGCGCCCGGCAAACGGAGGACTTAAATACATGTGAAAGCGTGACGAGGCAGCAGGACTTCAGTCCTTGCTTGGGACAAGGGAAAAGAAATAGATAAGCATCAAATAATTTAAGTACTTAGATATTATTATTCAGTTGTATGGGTTTCTTTCATTATAGAAGGTCTATAAAAAGCTTATTTTGTGTAGGTACAAAGTAGGAGTCCCACCTTTTCTTGTGGATTATAAATGATTGAACCAGACATGGCCCATGAGACCAAATGATTTATGATCATGTCCCTACCTATTTTTAAAAAATATATGTTAGACTTATTCACTGCAGAAGAATTGAGAGTATAAGAAAGGCAAAAAATAAAATCACCCATGTTTTCATTATTTAGCAATAACCACTACTGCATTCTGCTGGAAGACTTTCAGAATTTTTTCTTGGGCTTAAAAAGCAAAGACAACACCCACCCAAATTGTACCCCGGTAGTTGAAATGGAAAGATACCAGCTTATGAAAGAAGCAAAGACCTTCCCTTGCAAGTGATCCTGGTCCCCAGTGCCGGAAAATGTTAGCTGCTCTTGTTCCATTACCGTTATTGTTACTGGTTGCTTAGCCACTTCCACCAAAATGCTACAATATGTAGAATAATTGTTTTCGTTATCTTTCTGCGTTTGGCCTCGAGTTGTTTGGGAAGTCTGAACATTCTCAGACTGTAGTCTTCTCTCCTCATCTTTTCACAGAATACTTCAGAAAGCCACAGCTGTGCCAGGAGCCTCCTAATGACAGATCGAGTACAAATAGTTGTGATTCTCTCTGAGTTCTTTAATTCCATGTGGAAGGACGCAAACTGTGCAAGTAAGTCCCTTTTTCATCGTCAGGCTGCAGGGATGGCGCCACAGTGGAGGTGTCAGACTTTACTGAATCCTGGGGTCTGTGAAGCTAGCTAACACCTTTGATTACTAAACGTTTTTAATGGAACTGTGGTTAGCATCGTGGTTTATTGGTGGTGAGCACTGGGGCAAGGTAGTGGATGGCGAGACCATTTCAGTTGGAACTAGACCTGGGCTAGCTACTTCTTGAAGCCCTGGTGGTGGGATGGTTAAAGCACTCGACTACTACAAGGTTGGCGGTTCAGACCCACCAGCTGCTCTCTGGTAGGAAGCTGTGACCAACTGCTCTGGTAAAGATTTATAGCCAGTCTGCTCGATGGTAATGGGTTTGAGTTTTGGGGCTCTGGTCCTATTAGATCTAACTTTCCAGTTGTCAACTTTGAACTTTGGGCAAGTAACTTCACCTGTTGGAACTGCAGTTTCTTTATAAACTGGAACCTATTGTATACCACTATTTGGAGTAGTAAATGAAATACATTTTATACAGCACCTAGCACCTTGCCTGGCACATACTTAATGTTCAAAAACTGCAAAATGTTTAATATAATAGTAATTGGGCTGATTATATTGATCTGCCAAATGGAGGGTGGGTGGGATTATATCAGTGCTATTAGCAGATTTGTGCCTGTCCTTTTGTGTAATAAATGAGATCTATTTTCAGATATTCTTTGTAACATTATAGTTTGTCTTTCCATTCTGAAGTGTTTATGAATCCCAACCATGTGCTAGGCAGTTGTTGCCTTGATGAGTTCAGGCCTCTTCATTTTTGGAGGAGAACCGTCCTTGTGCAAATACAACCTAAGGCGGACAGATAGATGCCTTGACAAAGGCATGAAGGAAGTCCTTTGGGGAAGTAGAAAATGATCCTAATTGGTGGGGGTTGGGGTTTGAAATAAAGTCATGGGGGAAGTCCATTTTGCATTAGGTCTTTGAACAAGAAGAGACGGAAGAAGGGCATTGCAGACAGAGAGGCCTCCTGGCAGAGAGGTACAAGCACGACGGCGATGACCCGGGGCCCGGACTGCATAACGGCAGAGACAGTTGGAAAGGGAAGGGAGGACCCGGACTGAGGATGTTACCGTAGAGCTTCTTCAGCTGTGGATAATGCATCCAAGGTGTTTCTGGAAGCACTTGCTCTTGTTGCAAATTTCTTGGGCAAAAAGGGGTCACCAATGGAAAAAAGTTGTAATGGGCAGGGCGGGTGCTGCCTAACTTTCCCTCTGAAAAGGGGACAGTCAGCCAAGTAGGTTTGGGAACCTGGGGTTTAGACCAACAGTGTTCATGACTGCTTAAAACACCAGCATACTATTCCAAAAGGGCTGCATACTATAATACCTTGGAGGCTTACAATGCATATGGAGTATTAAAGGCACTGAAAACTCCTGTACATGTAATCTAGCACTTTCTAGTTCCCCCTCCCCCTATTTTTAAAACAGTAAAGACCCTTTTTAAAACCACAAAGACCTGCAATACTCCAACCAAGCTAAACTCACTGCAAAATTCTCATATAATCCAGAATTTCTGGGGCCATGAAGGCTAGCTGACCCCTGAAGCCATGGCCCTGGGGTAATCTTTGGCTGTTAGCAGCCAAGTGTATAGACCCCTGTGCCACCAGGGCTTCTGTGAGGTAAGCTTTGAGTTTCAAACCAAAAATATCCCTGGAAGTCTTCCTAGAAGCAAATAGCAGTTGAGCTTAACTAGTAAGGAAGGTTTGCTGTGAGGGTTCAGATTGATCTATAGGAGATGAAATTGACCACAGCAACTGGCAAGATTGGTAGGAACCTGAGGAGGCAGGGAGTTGATGTTAATGGGAGAGAAACAACACAGCAAAGGAGAGTGGGAGTGTTCACACAGTTTGAAGAATGTCATGGGCGTACCTGAATTGTACACGTTGGAATTGTCAAATTGGTATATCTGCTGCGGTGTATACAGAGTAAGTCAAAAAGTATTGCTACCAGGGTTCTAGCTCAAACAAAATGCAGGTAAACACGTCCCTGCAGGCAGTGGAGGCATGTTCTCTCAGCAATACATTTATCTTAGTTTCTTTCCCCCCAAAAGCAGAGCTTCTGGTGGCTTTTCAAACTTCTGACCTTGTGGTTAGCAGCCTGACAGTTAACCCACTACCTGAGTAGGGTGCCTTAAAAGGGTCAAGATCCAATCAAAACAGTCACTCCCAAAGGAATCTGCTGGACCAGTTCAATTCTAGGCAGCCACATCAGTGGGGGTGGTGGTGGTGGTGGGAGGGTTGGGTGATGATGAAGGCTTCTTCTTTTTTAATTCCAAAGGGGTAAACTTGAGAGATTTTTTTGGTGGGATGCAGGCTGATCACAGTAGCTGATAGGAAGAAGGTTGAAGCAATTTGGAAACAGCACTGGTGAGAAAAGGGCCAGGGAAGTGATGCAGAGAGATTTTTTCCATCGTGACAGCCTCATGCTTTGTGAGTAGCAGGGGCTGGTCTAGGAGAATCGCCGTGGGAAACTTTACCCCATTGACCCAAAGCTCTGATCCAGCACTTCAGACTTCTGTTTGTCTCCCAAAGGACTTGAGGCCCTTGAGGCCGCCCATGCTGCCTTTTTGGCAGGGTGCACACCTAAAAGGGCGGAGTCCTCCAGGGGGTGGAGTCGAGAGATGGAAACACTGCCTTCAACGCGTAAAGCCTCAGATGGAGGCTGTGTCAAGAAACGATGGTAGCCTCATATTTTGATGTTTCTGTTGAATAAAGGTTTCTAGGCTTTTATTGGTGCCCTGTTGGCACAGTGAGTTGTTTTGTGGGACTGCTACCCAGAAAGTCAGCAGTTGAAACCCACCAGTTGCTCCTCAGGAGGAAAACGAGGCTTCCTACTCCTGTGAAGATTTGCAGCCTCAGAAACCCAAAGAGGTAGTGCCACTCTGTCCTATAGGTTCATTCTGTGAGTCATGATTTTATAGCAAGACTTTTTGACTTACCCTCATATCTTGAATAGCAATTAGTTTTTAAAAATGATCTTCCACTGGTGGAATAAGTCATGTTTAAAATTTTCATCTTAAAATATATACAATATTTAAAATGTGAATAAACTATTTTTGTAAGCTTGGACTCCCTAAATTTCCCAGCTGTTTTCTCTTTATTCAGTGCTAGGCATCATTCTAAAATGATTATTTTTAACTAAAATTCAGCAGCCTTTCCCAAATTACCAGCATTGTGTTCTCCGTGTACCTGCCAAATAAAGGTAATGTGAAAATTGTTTTGAATTGTAAGTGACCTTAAGAGGTTATTAGAATTTTTATAAAAGAGTATTATTAAAAGTATAAAAAGCAATGATATTAAAATGAATGTGCTGCCCCAAACCACCTTTTCCTTATGCTGGCCCTGCTGTGAAGCTGGTAGTTGGCCTTGCCTACTGCTAGTAGTTGATTACAGGACGGCCACGGACACAACGGAGGAGAAAGCACCACTGTCCCTGTGCCTCACCCTTCCTTGCTCTTTAGAACGCCTGAGTCTTTGAAGGCTAATTAGTTTGGGCAGGAAAGTAGTTAGTGGACGTAAGTGGAAAAGCAAAAAAGTGCTGAGAACTAACTCAACAACTCTTGCTCACATTTCCCATAACTAGTTATTCCTGTGGAGAACGACTGCTGAGCAATGGGGACAGTGTGTACACCACCAGGATCTTCTTCTGTACAGAACTTGGAAGCTGTATCAGAAGGGAATTGTTGACCTAGGGAAAGAATTATTAGTGGGTAATTTTTTTCATGCTCTTACTTAGACGGCATTTGAATAGTTAGCAGAATGACCAGATTTGATAGACCACGGACTCCTTTATGGGGAAGTGTTTGGGTCCTTTGGCTAGTGTCCTCCAATAGGAAGGACCCCTGCCCACTGCCATCGAGTCAGTTCTAATAGCAACCCTCTAGGACAAAGTAGAATCGCCCCTTTGGGTTTTTGAGGCTGTAGATCTTCATGGGAGTAGAAAGTCTCATCTTTCTCCCTCAGCGTGATTGCTGGAGTCAAACTGTTGACCTTGCAGTTAGCAGCCCCCAGGGCATAACCCACTATACCACCAGAATGCCTTCCAACATGTAGCGCTGTAACGAGATGGGCCCCAGAGTGATCCGTTCAGGTATTTGTTCACACACACTGGAAACCTCCCGTTCATATGCAGCCTTCTGTGTGTACAGTATACTGTACTGAATGTAATGTATCTGGGTGATACCTCATTGGCCTAATGTTTCTGAACCCCACTTTGTAAGCCTCATGAACATTGTCATTATGAGTCATCAAAGTAGAATTAACCTTTGAGTAGTACCCACTCACTCATTGCCATCAGCCAATGTCGACTCCTGGCGATCTTATATGACAGGCTAGAACTGCCCTTGTGGTTTCTGAGACAATATTTCTTTACGGAATGGAGAGCCTCAGCCTTTTCCCACAGAGTGGCAGGTAGTTTTGAACTGCTGACTTTGCAGTTAGCAGCCCAACATAAAACCACTAAGTCACCAGGGCTCAGTTAGTAATCTAACTCAAAATGTCTCCATCCTTTAAAAATCAATAATAAGACTTAAAAGTTTACAAAAAGCCAATTAATGAAAGCTCTTCTACCACAATTGTATCTGAATGGAAATGTACTATTTACACTCAAGTTATTTATAGTTTATAATTTAAAATGTCTTAGGTTTCCTATTTCTCAGATTTAATTGTTTTACCCAGCACAAAGTCCCTACATATGACTGCATTCTCTAGATTTTCAGTATTGTCAGTCTAGCTTTTGAAAAGCAGCAGACATTTTATATACACTTCTAATAGATGCCAAACACGTAGATGTATAATTTCTGTTATGATAACCAAGTAGTTTTCTATGTAAGGTCTTAACATGACTCTTTAACACCTTTAAAAATGCCTCTTGAGCTGCCTGAGCCCTCACTGAGAAAGAAGCTATATCAATCTGTCCTTGATGAGGCTCCCTTGATTGAAATGAGGAAAATTCATAATAACCACTTCAGAGGGTGCTTATAGGAAGCCTTATTTTTCCTATGATTCCTTAGCTTTTTAATTTCTTATAATGTATAGGTTCTCACTGTTTGTAACCTTGTGCTCCCAAGTCCTACAAATGGATCAAAGAAGAATTTTATGATAATGCTTTCCTTTTGAATCAGAAAGTCCTACCTCTTTAATAATGAAGGCATTTTTAACCTCATTCTATAAACAAATACATTTGTGCTTTGTAATAGCGTGGCCTCATGATTATTGAACATTTTGGATGGTGCTGCATTAATGTGGTACTCAATGAGATGACCCAGCCATGTTAGCTTTCAGCTTAATGTTTTAAGTATTTTAAGTGAGAAGGAATGGTTGTCAGTAAAATAGAAGAGATTTCATTCTTCTGTCCTATAGAGAGGCTTTTTTTTACAGATAATTTATAAGGAAATTCCTTATTTTAATTGTTTCATATGCTTAGCAGTTTTTTAAAAAATTTTTCACTTCTCATAGTAATCTGCTTGATTATTCTTGCAGGCAATACAGGGACCTACCCTGCCATTAAATCATGACCCTATAGGACAGTGTAGAACTTCTCCATAGAGTTTGTAGGGCTGTTAATCTCTCTGGGAGCCAACGGTCTCATCTTCTCCCGAAGAGTGGCTGGTGGGTTCAATCCTCAGACCTTTTGTTAGCAGCCCAGTGCTTAAAGTACTGTCCCACCAGGGCTCCTTAACACAGGGACATGCACACATCATTCATTCATATTGCCCATGTCAGTTGTAATGACCCGGCTTCTTGTATACAGATGTGTGTGTATTTACCATGGATGAAACTGTCTTCTTTTTAGTTTCCTAAAAAGCATCAGATGCACACACTGTAAATCTGTAGGATTTTGTTAGCCTGATACACCAATGGAGAGCCCTGGTGACATCTGAGATAGCAAAGCGACCGGTTTGAAACCACCAGCCACTCCTTGGGCGGAGGATGAGGATTTCTGTTTCCACACAGAGTCAGAGTTAGGACGGGGGGGCAGTTCATCTCTGTCCTACAGGGTCGCTCTGAGTCGGCGTCGACTCCAGGACTTGCTGGCAGTGAGGTGAGTGAACTGAGACGAGAGGAAAGCTTCATATGTTTAGAAGGTGCTCATAATGTCAGACATGTCATGATGGTTTGAACACAGAGTTCCTATAGAGTCATGTTTGCCTGAGAGAGAAGTGACAACCTGTCATTGTTGCTTGAGCTATATTAATATCCTTTTCCCCCCACAGATTGTTTAACAAACAACAGTCAAGAGTTATCAAACAGCACAGTCTACTTCCTCAGTCTGTTTAATCAGACCTTGACCTGCTTTGAGCATAACATTCAGGTATTCCATATGTCATATGTGAGATGAAAATGCTACCTGTTTAGATGAACAACAGTTAATTCCAGTGATCTGTGATAGATTTCTGTACACGTGATAAAGACGAGTTAGTGGACCCAGGTTCGGCTCTTAAGTACCGTGCCTGGAGGTAGCTCATTGAGGCTTCAGCTTTCTGATGCATAAAGCAGACACAGCGATACCTGCTTTCCCTGCCTTCTGTGTTTTGTAGTGTGGGCACAGGACATGATGAGTGTGACAGCATTAACGGAGCCACTGAGGAATTCTTTAATTAGGACAGATCGTCCTACCAGACAGTAATTGACCTTGATTTCAATTACACAGCAATAGGGTGTTTTATTTTCCACTATAACATCACTTTATGTGTTTATTGGAAGTTTACTCTTTTCTTTTCTATCTGTTTATATATATTTTCCCTACTTTAAAAGGTACTCTCTAATAAGACAACTTTCAGTATTGAATTCTGAGATAAAAAGGTAACCGTAAGAATCTTTTTCTTAGCGGTTTTTGCTTTTCTCATCTCTGACTCTTCAAGTTTGGCAGTGGGATTTTTCTGGTGAAAGTGGGGTTTGGAATTGGAATGCTGATTAACTGTAATTTCAAAACATACATACATAACAAGTATTTCCCACAAGTAGATGCAAGTATATGAGAGAGTGTTTAGGGTAGGATGTAAGTATGTATGATTTCCTTCTTAATGTGACAAAGCAGAATTATGAATCTCCTTAGGAATAATAGCAATTGTTAGACGGGTTTAGTATCCTTTTAAGTTTGGGAAATGCTTTACTCCAGGGCAGGCAATTTCCCATTAAGAAAGGTGTGCAGAAGTCGCACGTGTCATTGATGTAGCAGGGTGGCACTGTACCCTGCAGGGACTCAGGGGCTCTGATGCCTGAAAAGAAGGGGCAGCTTGGCATGGCGGAGATTGTGTTCTTGTTCTTCCCCTTTCCATCCACTAATCTTTGGAAGCAAATTACGACGTATTCAAGGAGTGAGGGTGGAGTATCTGATTATTTGAAAATCGTCTGAAAGGAGATGTGTCTCTCGCATTTACTTATCAACCATGTATATTCATGTCAATATGGACTCATGGGGGTTTCTATTAGACTTCGGGCTCCCATGGAGTCTCTAAGGTTTTCTCCTCTATGCAGAATGAATTCTTTTTCATTCAGGCATCGTGACAGACATTGCAGGTTGTCTTCTGGAATCAGGTTTGGCTTGTTAGGTGTTTTTGAGTTCGTGGGATTGGTCCTTGTTCTGTGTGCTTTGTTTGGCTCCCTCTCCTCTCTCACGTGCCCAGTGTGTGTCAGGATGGGTTTACCAGGCTGGGGCAGAAGGAGAAATCCGAGAAGCCTCTTGGATGGTGTTGAGTTTCTGTTGCTTGGCCTTTGGAAGCTCCCTGGACAGGAAGTGCTCCAGGGGTGCCTGGTGGAACCCCGGGGATTGGGGACTGGCTGTGCGGGGGCAGCCGTGAGCACTGAGGGTAGAGTGATGAAGAAGACAGACTTGATTCCTGTTCTTGTGACCGTACGTGGTGAGATGGAAGCAAATCACAAATAATTAAAAGTGATCATTAAGAGTCAAGTGCCCTGAGAGGGGTAGGGTGCTCCTTTAGTGAGGTGGGCGGGGACAACCTCTTGGAGGAGGTGACTTTTGAGAAGAGCCAGCCATGGGAAGAGTGCAGCTGGCAGGAGCAGGCAGAGGCCCTCGGGGTAAGGACTCCTTGATCTGTGCGTGCCGACCATCAGAGAAAGGCAGCCAGGCTGCGGCAGCGTGGGCAAGTGTGCAATGAGGTCTGGGAACCAATCCAACCCAAACCAAGCCGAGCCTCCTGTCATCTTTGCCAGAGCAGCCCGCCTGTGTGCTTTTTCCTCCGACAGAGCCATTAAGTGGGCTCAAACCACCAACCTGTCCGTTGTGCCAAGCACGTGCCCGCTGCACGGGCAGGGCTCCTTGTCGCTTAGCTCTACCGTCATTTCTTGGCCCTCGGGTCGGCAAACTGCCCCGAGAGCCCGAGGTGGCTCTTTCCGCACGTATGCATGGCTCTTCAGGAACACTGAAAAAAGCGAAAGGATATTCAGATGGCGGTGCTTTCATTCGTTTGTGAAAGTATATTTATGGCCCTCGAATAAGTTTTAGATTGTGGTGAGGGACAGGATTGGCCCTTGCATCTCAAAGGTTTGCTGCTCCGTGGGTTGGCCAGGCCGGCGCTGATGCAGATTCAGCATTTCACTGCAACAGACTGCCGCCCTGGGCAGCCTTCTCTCACTCCTATGAGTGTCTCTGTCCCACAGATTCCTAGCTGTGGAAGTGCTCCGCTTTGATGGACACCCCTCCTTAAGCACACGGCTGTGCCAGGAAGCGGGCAGCAGGCCGCTTCTTGCAGCAGACCTCCGGGTGGGCAAACACTGTTAACCCTGCCAGCTTCCTGGCCTTCCTTCCCTTTTCTCCACCCTTCCAGCCCGTACGAAATAGAAGCACGTCTGAACGGACTTAAGCACACTTGTTCTTGAAAAGACAATTACCATCTACTTGTAGAAAAGGCAAACGTGCATTGACCTAAGACTTCATGTTATGCCCATCACCCTCCTTTTAGATTTTCTAATTTTCTGGTATTCGTCTCTTGAAAAAAAGGTTTTTTTTTTTTTAACACTTTTACCAACACACAGTTGCCACGTCGTACATGTCACTAGTTCAGTCCCATTCCTAAGAATTGTACAATCATCACCACTATCAATTCCAGGACATTTATTCTTCCTTTTCCCGTTGTTGTTGGTTCTCCATGTCCCACCCCCCTCCCCTGCCACGTCCCTTTGAAACTATTCATCCCATTGTTGTCTCTATAGGTTTACCTATGCTGAGTACAGGAAAACAAAACAAAAACAGATGGCTTAATAACAGTGGCAGAATAGAACAGAGAAAAACCTCAGTTGAAAGCACAGTAGAAAATATTAAAACCTGGACCGATTATACATTGGGATTCAGAGGGAGACCAAGTGACTGGGAGTTGCATTTTGACCTAACTGCGCCCGCAGCGATCGATCGTCCCTGCAGTGTGCTCTGTTGGATAACAAGGCCCTTCCCTTCCCTGGTCCATCGTCAGAGGGGATTCTGCCACTGGGGTTTGGGACTTTCACTGCCTTCCAGAGCCTTCTGCAAATCAGGTGTTCAGACTTCAGTCTCTCATACCATTCCCTCCCCTCCTCTGGGACTGGGTTTTTTGTCTCTTTTTTGTCGACTTAAAAAGACCTGAGTTTTGGGTAAGAGGGATAGGTGGGGCGCTAGCTTCCCATTCAAAAAAGTACCGCTTGCCTCAATAGCGCAAACTTTGGTGTGAAGTGAGCTCCAGGACAGACCGTCTGTATTTATTTGGTGAGAGGGAAAGGAGCTTCCATGGCAGATATGTAAATAAGACAGTGTGGGGCATTTCGTGGTTAGGTTGCAGCCATTTGGCATCGAAGTCGGTGGAGTCCACAGTTGACATCGGCTAGCGCAGTCAGGTTCCAACGTTAACAGCATCTGGAAAGTACAGCCGGAGCTCTGGTGATGGAGTGGGCTAGGCATGGGGCTGCTAGTGGCAAGGCCAGCAGTTTGAAGCCACCACCCGCTCGGAGGGAGAAAGATGAGCCATTCTACTGCCATCGAGACTTACAGTTTTGGAAACCATGGGGGAAGTTCTGCGCTGTCCACTAGAGTGGCTCTGAGTTGGAATTGACTCGGTTGCCGTGAGTTCTGGTTTTCGAGAAAGTGCGAATATTGTCTTATGCTTTATATACCTCAGGTGTGGAATCTGAGCGGAAGCAGGTTTCGTTTCCAGACGAGGAAACAGTTAGTACCTCACCAATGTCACAGCTCAGCCCTGGAACCCACCCTGATTCCTGTGCTCTGGGGGCGGTGGTATGTGTGTGTGTGTGGGGGGGACAGGCAGCTCACGTGACAGATATGCTGCGTGCAGTGCGTGCTGGGTGGATGACATTTGACTTTTCTTCCTTTCAGGGCAACTCATACAGTCTTCTACAGCCGAGAAATTACTCACAAGTTTGCAAAAAGTGCAGCACGGTGTACAAAAGCCTGAGTGCAGTGTACAGCAAGATGCAAAAGGCAGAGGAGCGTGAGAATAAGGCTGAGCCTGGGACACACCTCTGTATCGATGTGGAAGATGCCGTAAGTGCCCTACCCCTGGCCTCAGAGCTGTTTGGCAGTGGCGGTGAAGGTGTGGCCAGGGTCATTGTCCCTTTTGAAGGTACACGGGAGTCGGCATAGGCCGTCTCCAACCAGAAAGGACTAGTTCGAAGGTCTGATAGCTTCAGACGCTCCTGACATCTCAAATGAAAAAGGAAATTAACCAGATGCCTGACCAGTGAGCTGACCACGTGGCACACTTTGTTTTTAAAATCAGATGGCGTGTCCCATGTCCAGAGCTTGGAGAGTCCGTCTGTGTTTACATTTCAGCTTTGTGTGCTTTTCTTGCTTGATTTAGCCCCTGGGTTTTGCTCCAATGTGTTTCTGAAGCTATCCCTCAATCTCTTCCTCTCCCGTTGCCTTGGTTAGTTCTGTGCATAGGATACTTTCTGAAAATACACATTTGTTTACTTATTTGTAGCCGGCTTCCCCGCCCTCCTCCGCAGCCCCGCACATAAGCAGAAGCCGCAGGGAGACAAGGACCCAGTCTTTTTTGTTCCATCTTCAAGAACTTCGAAGTGTACCTGGCATGTAACAGTCCCGTGGTAAATGCGTCCATTGAAGGTGGCTGCTGTTGTCAGGTGCTTGCAGTCGGTTCTGACTCGGAGCGGCCCTGTGTACAACCGAGCGAAACTCTCCCGGGTCTGTTGCCATCCCCACAGCTGTTGGTTCCGAACCCATTGTTGCAGCCGCTGGGTCAAGAAGCCATTGAGAGTGCAGAAAGGGTATTTTTCTCTAGGGTGTCGGCAGCCTTTACCTGGGGCACCACTAGATGGCGATCATAACTTGTGAAGGCAACATGATGCCCAGAATTTAGGGGTTAAAGGAAACGGGAAATCATTGGCTAAAAGTACGGAATTCAATATCAAAATTATCGGGGTTGAAAATTAAGAATTTCTGTAGCTCAGAGTGACATCTAGTGGATTGACAATATTCAAAGTGGTAAAGAGCCGCTAATATGGGCACACCAGGAGGAAAGGATTTTATTTCCCTCTTTCTTAATGTTTCATCCCGAATGCCTAGAACAGTACATGGCTTCTAATAGATTCTCATATAAATAACATGTACTTACCAGTAGGAAAAGCAGAGTCTAACACTCTTTTTACATATAACCCACTTCTCCCAAGTTGATTCCAACTCATAGCAACCCTATATAGGATTTTGACAGTCTGTAAATCTTTATAATAGATTTCTATGTATACAGTGAACCCTCGTTTATCGCGGTTAATCGGTTCTAGACCCTACCGTGATAAATGAAATTCTGCGAAGTAGGATTCCTTATTTGTAA